AAGCCATATGAGGTGGGCCAATACGTGTGGGTCTTTCAAAATGTCATACCGCCCAAGGGAACGAAAAAACTACTCAAGAACTGGAGGGGACCATTCATGATAACGGAAGTTCATCAACAGGGACGGTTCTACCACTTGAGTACTGGGCGAGCAGCACATTATGAAAATCTGAAGCCTCACGTTCCGTCCCCGGAGGACTGGTGCATACCGAAGGACATGGATGGTCTCGAGTACCTGGTGGTAGAGCCAGCGTGTGAAGTGAATGAAAAAGGCACCAGAGAGAAAAATGATGGTAATGAGAACTTGAGTTTGGACGACAATGAAAAGATAGAGGTGGAGTCTGAAGCAGGATCGTTTGTAGAAGAAGACTGGAACGACCCGGAGCAAGATGAGGTGCCGAAGTGGATGGAGCCAGATCGACCAATACCACCGGGGACCAGGACTGGCAATCGTAAAGGGACCAGCATGAGGTACAACAGATACGGGGATGACTTCTTGATCGATAAGATACAGCCAGACAAATTGGGCGAGGAACTACTGAGTGCAGGCGAACTGGAAGCCGAAGAGGAATGGCAGGTCATTGACGATGGTGGACACTATCCGCAGGAAGACTATTCGACACCAGAATTGGAGACGGATCTCGAACAGAGTGAGATAGAGAGGAGGGAGAACACGAACTTGAGGATACTAGAGTGGATGCGCGATGTCAAAGACGAGAGCCACGAAGGACAAAGCATTCAACAAGTCGACGTGTCATCGGCAAATTATATGAAGACAGAGGACCCTCTTTTCGGATGGACGGCAACAGACAGGCCAGTGGACATTCCTCCGGACAATTCAGACCTGACAACAACGACGGGGACGTCGATAAATATTTTTGTCCGGGGAGTGGGGGGTAGGACTTACCCACACCGAAAATTTGATGATAACGAAGCTCAAGGAAGTGAGAGAAACAAGCGAATTGGAACTGGAAGAAGAAGAGCCAGAGCCTACCATAGGTCGGAATTTCAAAATTTTCCCAAAAACCCTCTCTTAGTGGCCAAATGCTGACCCCCCTTTTTTAGTTACCTCTTTTTCAATGTTCCAAGCAACTCGAAACCAAAACCTGTGCGCAGGTATCTTGTGATCACCTGTTCTTATAAAAACCAAACACAAATCCTTACCAAAATGCAACAAAAATCTAAGCAAGATAAAACAATAAAAACAAAGAGATGAACCCTGACGTCTTGGTTATATATGACGTCTTGGTTATACGACACTGACGTCTTGGTTATACATGACAACGAAAGATCACATGAGAAAGCATCAAAAGGAGTATCGATAGTTCCAGGCCGAGATTGGGCCGGAAGCTTTCAAGAGACCCCTGTTAACACATCGAAATGCGATCACGACAGGATGGAAAAGAGTGGGTAAAATGTCTAGAGACAATACCAAAGCGAGGAAATCGATACTAGAGGAGGACTTGGCGAAGAACGTGAGCCTGAGCCTGCACAACTCCTTTTGTTTGAACCGGGAATCTAGGGTGAAGGCACTACCCAACCAGGCAAAGAGGTTGCAGGAGCAAAGGGAATGGATGCGATCCTATGAACAGCTGAAGGCTTGGGAGGAGATCGTGATTAGCTCCGATGATGAAGAAGAACTGTTGAAACAGTTTGCCGTATCCAGTACTTCAGGGGACGGCACCTCCAAGGCGAAGAGTGCGAAATGAGCGGATGGTTCGAAGAGATCTTGAGTCTAGAGAGGGAAGGGGGGCTTGAGTGTGAATCCAGATGAAACCTGGGTTCACGAAAAATAAATTTTAATGAATCAGATATTGTTATTAATATGTTATATTTTACTATATAAATCAAAATGCTGCATGACAATTTCCTGATTGAATGGGACAAACAAAATTTTAAATAATTGGCTTGAAAAGCGAGAATTCAAGGGTGCAGGTGTGTGCAGATTTTGATTGCTGTTTAGCGATAGTGTGAAAATTTTACATGGCCGTGAATTTTGGGGTGTAGATAAGCTTAAGTCTGCTGCAAACTTCTGTAAATGACCACTGGCACTGTACCTTGAGCAACATTCGGTTTTCTGGGACTCACTGGTAGACGACAGCACGCGATGAGGACATCGATCTTGAGTCCGGGGAGTATGTGCCAGTCGGTCATATTTGGAAGTTTGACCTTGAGAAAAACAAGAACGCTTAATTTTGGAGTGAAATTTGATTTTTCAAAAATTCGAATGGAGCCTGTCATGCACGATTTTCTCGCGATAACTGAAAACCGAAAAAGTGAAATCAGAACGATCGAGTTACAATCGCGGGAAAAGTTGCCAGATAAAGCAGTAGGAAATTGCCATTCGCAATTTCCGTCACAATAAAACTAGAGTAGAGTTGTCCTATCTGAAACAGAAGGAAGCGTTTTCCCGAGAACTGGACCATTATTGCTCGACTGGATTATTATTCAAACTGGACTAGAGTGAACCTTCGATGGAAAGGTGGACAGCTTTAGTGTCCCAATGGTTCACGAGAAACAATATTCTAGAGTTAAAACGTGTCCTTGTTATTGAAACTGATAAACATTAAACTCATTTAGTTACATTATTTAATTCTCGAGTTGTTTACTAACTTAATTACTCCCAGTTCTTGAGCGTGCTACGATGTGAGTACCCAATTTCAATTTCTAGAATGTGTTTTATGATTGTTATGTTGAGGTAAGGCGAGTTTTAGGTTGATCCATCTGAAATGGATCAAAGTTCCACTGTCTAATAAAAAGTAACTTAACGGATTGTTCTGACCCGGTTTTTAACGGCGTTCATGTATTTTGGGTATCTAGAGACCTAAGTAAGGGGACGTTCTTATTTCTGGAGTGGGGGGATATTTTGGTAGTAGCCTTTAAGCTGTAACGGGTCGTAGTCTCATGTCACAAGCGAACCGAATTGGCTCCGACTGATTTGAGGTAGAAAAACACAAGAGATAGTGTCCCTGACTCTTGAGCCAATGGTTATAGGGCCTATTTTTCTTAAGCCTCATGTGTGACTACAGTAGACGAATGTTACAACTGCTGCAGCATGGTTAAATGCTCTTCCCTGTCAGTCTCTGGGCTTGAAATTAACTAATACGCAGCTTCGCATTTCCCTCAGTTTTCGAGTAGGAGCCCCCGTTTGTGTTGAGCATAGTTGCGTTTGCGGAAAACAAGTGGATTCGTCTGGTTTGCATGGCCTTTCGTGCTCTCGCAGTGCCGGAAGATTTGCAAGACATTCCATGCTAAATCAAATCATTAAAGAGTCGCTTGGATCAATTCACATTCCTTCAGTCCTAGTACCTCCTGGGTTATGTAGAACCGATGCAAAAAGACCGGCTGGCTCTGATCCCCATTTAATTGCTGGTAAAGCTGCATCTTAAGCAGAAATTCTGAAAACGCGCAAATACGAACCTCTTATTCGTGACGGCTACGCCTTTCAACCAGTGGCATTTGAAACACAGGGAGCTTGTGGAAGCGAGACCGAGATCTTCTTGCGTGATTTAGGAAGAAGACTGGCTGAGACTTCATTCGAACCCCGCGCTTCCTCGTTTTTAAAGCAAAGAATTTCCATAGCTTTCCAAATTGGAAATGCTGCCTCGGTTGTCGGCACACTCAAGGAGTCAGACTGTCTCGAAGACATTTTTTATCTCTGAACTTGTTATTTTTAGTTATACTTGATTGTTATGTTATACGTTGTTTCAATCTTAACTGTAAATATGTTGCTGTCTGTATATTTTCGCATTGCTCAAGGTCAAACTTCCAAATATGACCGACTGGCACACGATGCACATAGTTGCGAAAACGTTTGAATTTACTTTTTAGCAACAATTTCTTTTAAAAAAATAGTTTTAAAATTGTTTTGTGCTGCTATGATTTTGGTTCTGAGACTTTTTTTGATAGCATGAAACGTTTTACTGTGACATAAAATTATTTGAAATAAAATATCAAATTCAGCTGACCGAGTGTCATTCTTTGGCGTAGATTTGCCGGTTTATTTAGCTATTTCGTATATAATTTGATCATGGTTTGGCGTATAGACATAAGACCAAAATTTCTCTCAATTATTTGACCTCCTTGGAAATTGAGAAATTAAAGATAAAAAAGGTTTGTTGTCAGGGCTGTTTTGATGTTCTGATAATTGATCTGCTAATATCTTTTATTCTTACTTTTTTTTATCTCTTAATCTTACTTTTTTATGCTTTATTATAAGAAACTTTCTATGCTTGGTTTGGCTTTGACATTGCTCTTTCTGATCGCGATTCTTAACACAATTAGTCTGAGAGTCAAAAGTATCATAGTAACCGAGGTTACAGTCATGAGTCCCTTCATCATGTATTCCAGTCAAAATCCTTGGAATTTTATAGATATGGAAGTGATAATGATAAAAGAAGATGTCAAGTGTTTAAGTCCTTTTGGCCGTCCTTTTGGCCGTCTGAGAGTGAATATCCTACAACACTGTTTACAAAAACTGTTAAAACTTAGATACTGCGTCAAAATAAAGATACTCGAATTAATTTGATATTTTTGAGTTGTTCCTTTATTCCGATTTTTTCTCATTTATTCTCAACATTACTAGGTGTTTTTTTTAAAAAATAAATTTGCTATTTTTGGAAGAAATAATACTTTAAAAATAATAATACTTTTTAAAGATGAAGGAATGATTGTATTGCTAATTTGAGGCAGAATTCTTTATTAAAATTGACGAGCTTTATGTTTACTTTCTGGATGAAGCGGACCTTTTGGAACGATTCCATTTGCTGTAGTAATTTGAGGTTGACTAAATGTGTCCGATCAATTTTGTCTATGACAGTACGTCTTAATTTTGTCTTCTTTCGGATTGGGATTGTTTTATCGTGAGCGTGAGTAATTGTGAAAGCAAACAACTTATCATGTCACCAGTCATATAAGGCTTTAATCTCTAAAGATATATGTTTGCTGGAACGTCATGAGTCGGTCAACTAGTAGGTTGTTTAACTTGTGGGTTTAACCCGGTTTCATTGGTTTGTTGTTTGGCCGTCAGATCTGTAGCCGTCAAATTTTCAGTATCCTGATTCAAATTAGACATCAAACAGATTATTGTCGATTGAATTTTCTAGAACTGAATGACGGAGCGCGACTCAATAGAGACGGAGATGAACCTAGACGCAGAGATGGCAGTTAACAACCACAGCAGTGGGGGACCTCTGGTTAAAGTGTCCTCTTGTGGAACACTGGCTTCGGAGCACGGATTTTCTGAAGTGTCAGACTACCTCTCCTCTGGCCACTTATCAGAAAACATACCAGCGTTCTATAAAGACGCTTCCATCTTCATCACCGGTGCAACTGGTAAAAGCTCGAATTCAGAAAACCTTTAATTCTATGATTGGTTTTGCAAAAAAATTTTGACCAAAAAACTGATTAATATCAACATGAAAATTTTTTTTCTTCTGAATATTGACTGAGCAGAGATGTTTCATTGAACCTTGTGATATGAAAATGGCAAGTGATTTTATAGGGTTCCTGGGCAAGTCTATTTTGGAAAAACTGCTGCGCAGTTGTCCCGACGTAGACCGCATCTTCGTGCTAGTGAGAAGCAAAAAGGGCCACAATCCGAACGAGCGAGTTGAAGCTCTTTTCAACAGCAAGGTGGGTAAAACAGTCAGTTTAAATCGAAAACGAATATTGAATAATTCAAGAAATTCAGTAGCTATCATGATAAAACTTATTCCTTTGCAATCAGCAAGGGTACTGCAGCCGCGCACTAGGCTTTTTTCTCAGTATCCCAGATTCATTACCTCATGATAAAATTTGTCTGAATGCTCAATTAACGATAGCAGTAGTGTTTTTGAACATGTTTTTATCAAATTGGATGGATTTAGTTTGAAGCACGTATAAAGATGTCTTTTTCGACATTTCAATTTTTTGACTAAGCGCTTTTCGTCGAATAGTTAACATGCTAACATAGCGCTTTACTGCAAGCGGCACGAAGCTGCGATTAGCCAGTGTCGAAATTAAGTTCACTTGGAGGTCACATTATGGTTGTTTGGTGGTTAAGCTGTTCGACCGGGCTCAGTCAGAGAGGGGAGAGGAAGAGTGTCGGCGGAAGGTGGTGGCCATTGCGGGCGATGTTATGGAACCCAATTTGGGCATCTCTGCGGAGGACGAACAGCTGCTGGTAGAGTCGAACGTCACCACAGTCATCCATTCTGCAGCCACCATCCGATTCGATGAACCCCTCAGGTTACACTAGTTATGGTATCATGAACTAGGAAGAATGCTTCCAAAGTCACAAGGTGACTGGAAAGTCACGTTCAAATGCTTCTTTAGTTGGATGGTTGCCTTAAGCTAGCAATGAGGGTATATGGCAGCGTATAGTAGTGTTTGCGCACAATTAATGCGGACATTTTCTCATTTCAAATCTGAGCTTTTTAGGTTCGCACTCTCCCTGAACGTGGGAGGGACTCTCCGTGTTGTGCAATTGTGCAGGAAGCTGCCGTGTTTGAAGGCTTTGGTGCATGTGTCCACTGCCTATGCCAACTGTGACCTGCCCTTCATAGAGGAACAAGTTTATCCTCCCCCAGTTGACCCACACAAGCTTCTAGACGCTCTAGAGTAAGTTTGTCATGCCAATTTATCTCACGAGATGTCATTATCTATCGAGTTAAACAATAATTTTTTTTATTGGAGCAGTGTTACTATTCCTAGTAGAGTCAACATTGGGCAGTAATGCGGGCCCGTACTTTGAAAACTAGCTTTCGAATTAATGTACGTCACCAATTTTTTTGTTAGCATAGTAACCATAGCACGAATTTTTCTGCAAGCTTTGATTTTGTTATAATACCACCCCACTTTTGCAGCGAAAGTCGCACATATCATTGTAAATTTCTAGTGCAAAATGGTTCCTTCGTAACAATGGTTCCTTCGTAAGCACCATGAGTTATATCTGCGGTAGTTTTTCCTACCTTTCGAAGAATTGGAAAGTTTTATGGCATAGGGTCTGTTTTTAATGTTTTCCCATCCCGGTTCGACTACCTCAAATTTGGTCTCATATTAAAGCCTTATATGTGGTGTCAAGAAATTTGGTCTGCTTTCTTTGTTGATCAGACGGAAAATTTGAAGTACAATTTGCGTTGTTTTGCATTTTTCTTTTTTATTGGCTGTTTCTACACAAGCTAAGCTTGTGTTATATTATGAATTATCTTTTTTTCCAACCTAAGTTGCAAATTTTGTTGCGACGCAAATATTATTGCGACAACTAAGGATAATAAAACAGACTATTATATTACAAATAGCACTTTAGCTTCAAGGTAGCATGGATCTGTAGCTTAGAGGTAGGGAAGGAGACCCGCAACAAAATAAGAGGGTTCGAACCTGGGCAGGGTTGAATGTTTTTAATGAACTTTTTTGCTATTCTTGTTGCTATTAGAGTTTGTGCGGATTATTCGAGCACGCGTGAAAGAATAAACAGGTGAGAAATTTTTAGGTTCTCATAAATCAGATTTCTGGTGGTATTGTGCAAGCTTTTTATGCAGCAGGTTGTAATTGAAGTACAGCTTCGCCTGTTTTAGTTTTTTTGTGGTGCAGATAGTTAAGTTACGCGATTGTCAGTGGATTTCCTTTAACTTTGTGGCCCTCAATTTTTGTGAATTAGTTTCATTTTTTTTGTTCATTAAGAGTCGATGAACGTAGTGAAGACTCTTAATATAGGTCGTGATGATTTTTTGTTCACGCGCAAATTTGATTTTTCGCGGTTTGACTTTAAATTTCTTTTGTAAGTAAATTTCTTTTCATTTGGTAAAAGGAGGGCAATCTTCACTAACGAACAGCAAAAGTGTAAAAAGATCCCAAAAACGTGATTGAATTTGAATTTCGCGGAATAAAAATTTACAGCGGAATAAAAATTTTGCCTTTTGATCCAGTTTTTTCGAATGGTATCTTTAACAAAGTGCAATCAGAAAAACTGTTTTTGAAATTCAGAGAGCTTAAAGACAAAATATTTTTTCTGCTTCCTTGAGTCCAATTGTCGGTTAGCTGTTTTAATTTTGCGAAAATTTGTTTAAAAATATGATATCGATATCTGATTTTTGAATTGCTTTCTCTCAGTTGCTGACCGCTTTATTTATGCAAGTATGCGAAATTAAGTTGCGTGTCGAGGTGAGTCGAATCATGTTTTATTAGTTATTTATGGCCGGCCAACCCTTAAAATATACCAGTTAAAGGGTAGCACCCCCCCCCCCCCCCCAAAAAAAAATAACCTTCCGAAAATTGCCTCATAAATAAGCCTACCTGGCAGAAAATGCTTAATATGGTCATTCTACGGTTTCGACATAGCTCGGAAATGATTACCTATGCGTAACGTAGACCAAAATAAAACGCTCCCGTCAAAAAAATCCTGCGCAAGACACTGGTGAAAATCAAATTTTAATTCTCTGTCTGCTTGGGCATTGTGCCTGCGCTGTTTCGTGTTATGACAGCTTTAATCACGCGATATTTATCGTTTGGTTAAATTGGAGTACCTTGACCATACTTTTCATGATCCAGTTATAACGATGTATTTATTTCTCCTACTGAACTCTAGAACATTTGACATCAGTTCTTTTCCATTCTTGTTCATATAGATCAGTTAATAATGATGTAATTTGTCGTTTTGCGGCATGAAAATTTTTATTTATTCTCGCTTGTCATTTTGGTTATGTTCAAATATTTTCTTATATGGAATCAGACTTTGACATGGCAAACAGGGTAGCGTAGGTAGTTCACCTTTACGCTCTGTCCTGTGTGTTTTCTGTTGGTCAAAAAGTCATCATTAGGTCAATGGTTTCTTAATTTGTTTATTTTGGATCATAGCTTTGAAATGATATCATGTGAACAATCAAACACGGAACAAATAAGTCGATTGGCGCTAGACTTGTTTTCCCGTAAACAATTTTTCTTACAAATCTTTAACTTGTTGTATTATTGAACCTTAATAACATCCAGGTGCCTTCCACTTGGCCTAGAGGTAAGGCCGTCGTATTTGCACCCTAACTTTTGGGACTCGAGTCCCGGTCGGACCTTGTTTTTTTTTTCAGCATGTATGCAGTTGAAAGTTTTAAATTTATAGTTGTTCATTGTAGCTTCAGGGCGGACTTGAAACTTTTTAAAATCATTTTTTGTTGTCCGTCGTAACTGGTGTCTGCTCAAAGATTTTCGGCTTTGTTTCCGCTTCGTAAGTGTTGTTCCTTTGCTAATGTAATATTCAATTTTTTGCTTGCTATGTTTGCCTAGAATGAACTTTTTGTCGAGACACGAAAGTTTGGTAGACCTAGTTTTTTTCATTTTTTGATTTCTCATGTTTTTTTTTGTCTTTGTGTTGTATCGCAAGTGATGCGAAGCTCGGTTTCACCTCTGTGTTTAATAATCAAAAGTCATTTTCATTTTTCTCGAATTCCTTCGTTTTTATGTTTGTGTCATATCGCGCATATTTTAGGTACTTGGAAATTCGATCTTGTTTTGCCATATGGTTCTACATAAATGAGAACAATAATTGGCGATCGATCTCGGTTTATTATGTGAAGTTTCCACGACCTACTTAAAGAAAATGAATAAATCGTACGCCATTTTCTGAATACTGAAGTGTTCGCCTTCCAGTAAGCTAACCAGAACAACTAAGTTTGAAGTTTGTGTTCACGTTTCAAGGTGACCAGTTTACTGATTACGCTATCAATCTTTCTTCTTTTTCTATCAATCGTAAATATAGACAAGGATCACTGTCATATTGGTCAAGGTTAAATTTATTGCGTATCTGTAGACCTCTTTTATCAACTTGAGTTGCTGATTAAATTTTTGTTTACATTTGTGGGTATAAACTAAGACAAACTATACATGCACCTAGCTAATTAATTCTAATTCTAAACGCATGATCTGATGTGCTATGACGTGCATGCATGCACTCGCGAATACGCTGTTGGTAAATTATGTGAGCTCTCCAAAAATTCGCCAATGGCAAATACGAAGCATGAATTTTAGCTCGATTATTAAATGATCACACCGTTCAAATCATGCTTTTTGCATGAAACTGCTGAGAAAGTGTGATAAATTGATTGTCAAAGGGATGAAAATTGGCTTTTTAGTTTTGCATGCGCATACCGGAAATAAAAAAAAAACTACAAAAATAAAGTAAGTAATTCAAATGCAAAAATGTTGCAGTAAGGCAGAACCATAAATTTTCTATTTTATTATTTGAAACATTCATTAAAAATACTTCTATTGTATAGTTTTGGATCTGGGTGTAAAGCGTTTCAGATAATTATCTACATATTTGGAAAATTACTTGCTAAAAGTATAAACGTTTTCAAGTGGATGGTATGAAAAATCAAGGCGAAGCATTTCCTCAAATGTAAGAGACACTTTTCATGTAGCTTTGGTCACTCATAGGCAAGTGAATATCGATGCCATTCCACTGGACCATAAACTCTTTTTATGGACACCTCCCGAACTTCACAGACAGACAAAATGAATTATAATTTGAGCAATGTGTCCTGTTCAATTACAAAAATGCATGTAAGTTTGAAATTTCAGACGACCTTGAAATATCTGCTGTTGAATATGGTCTGGAAAACGGGAGCAATTTCACAATAAGTTGCAACTTATTGAAGTTGTGCATAACTATTAAAGTAGTGCATAAATTAAACTTAAACTACAATACATCTATTATATATTTAAATGCGGGCTTCACTATCTCGCCATGTTTAAGCTTTTTCAACGTATTATTTTTGCATGTTTAACAAAAGAATTTTTTCACGTTTAAGCTATATCGCAATGGTTAAGATTTTTTAATTTTCCAGTTTGAATTCAGTGTTATTTCACCAAGTTTGAAATTAGCAACCCAATATTTGGATGCTGTCAGGGCTGCACCAGGTGTTGCGATTTTGGCCTCCATATATGAGTAACCAAATCTTTTTAGTTTGCGAGATACGGCAACTTTCGAGATTTTTCAAAAACGTAACTTTAAAAAATATCACAAAGTTTGAAATTCTCAACCCTGTAGCTGGGTGCTGCCAGGGTACTCTCAGGGGTTGCGAATCTTACCTTCTAACCTCTGTTCTCAAATCCTTGTAATTTCCGAAATATGACGTTTTTTATGGTTTTTTCAAAATATGAGTAACCAAATCTTTTTAGTTTGCGAGATACGGCAACTTTCGAGATTTTTCAAAAACGTAACTTTAAAAAATATCACAAAGTTTGAAATTCTCAACCCTGTAGTTGGGTGCTGCCAGGGTACTCTCAGGGGTTGCGAATCTTACCTTCTAACCTCAGTTCTCAAATCCTTGTAATTTCCGAAATATGACGTTTTTTATTGGTTTTCTCAATCCTGTAGTTGAAAACTCTGAGGTGGTACCGAATAACCTTCCCCCTGAATATGACTGCTCAGATCCTTGTACTTTTCGAGATATGACATTTTCTGTGATTTTTTCGAAACATTTCAGAAAACTTGAATTTTTTTTTTCTTTAAAATTTGAAACTTTTGTTATGGGTGCTGTCAGAGTACTCTCAGGGTCTCTGGGGTTGCGTATCTTGCCTTCAAATTTGACTGCTCAAGTCCTTGTAGTTTTCGAGATATGACGTGTTTTATGATTTCTTTTTAATTTTTCAGAAAACTTAGGTTTTAAAAAATTCAAAAGATTTGAAATTCTCAAACTTGTAGTTGGGTACTGTAAGGGTGCTCTCAGGAGTTTCATGTTGCAAGTTTTGCGTTTCAATGCGACTGCTCTAAATGCACTCAACTTCTGAGATGTGACGTTTGTAGTTTTTAATTGTTCAAAGAACTTAGATCTAAAAATTTTCTTATGTTCTCATCTCTGTAGTGAGGCTTTATCAGGGCACTCCTAGGGGTTGCGAGTTTTTCCTTTAAAATTGACTGCTTAATTTGTCGTAGTTTTCTATATATGACGTTTTAATGATTTTTTCAGAAAAATTCAGAAAACCTAAATTTAATTTTTCAAAGTTTGTGGAATTCCTAACCCTGAATTTGGGGGCTGTCAGAGTAGTCTCAGGGGTTGCGAATCTTGCCTCCAAAACTGAGCTCAATTTTTTTGTAGTTTTCGAGATATGGAACTGTTCTTGGTTTTTCAAAAATATAATAAGAAAACTTCAATTTGAATTTTCTCAAAATTCGAAGTTTCCGACCCTGTATTTGACTACTGTCAGCACCCTCAGAAGTTACAAATCTTGCGTCCAAATTCGACTTCTCAATTGCTTTTAGTTTCCGAGATGTGAGGTTTTTCTGTTATTTTTAAAATTTTCAAACTTTGATTTAAAAAAAATAACAAAATTGTATGGTTTTTCAAAATTTGAATTAAAAAAAAACTTGACTAACTGAACGAAATTTGAAATTGCCAACCCTGTAATTGGGTGCTGTCAGAGTATACTCAAAGGATGCAAATATTATTTCCAATATATATCGTTTTTTATGACTATCATAAATTCGAAGCACCGGAGGTGCGTTACTCGCTAGTGATATTTATTCGCTTGTCAGTCATTTATACATGCTGTTTAGATAGTTTTTTAAGCACAAAATTCTGACAGATGCATGAATAGCCGTTTTCCGGCAAGTAGCTTAGAAAATTCTGACCACAGCAAAGAAAATAAACTAAAATAGTTTCTTTTTTTTTTCAAATTGTGTTTCGTTTTTTTTTGCTCGTCGTGCGATGACAGGATCTGAGTCAAAGCCTAGAACTTCGAAAAAATCTTAACTAAAGTAAATTTGACATGTTTTTAAAAGTACAATTTTTTGCCAGTATTTAATATTCTGCCAACATAGCTGACACAGATCCAGCTATTTATTTTGAATCTGCCATTTTTGGTAATATATCACTGAAAACACTAGAACAGACCGTTTTCATGTAATACATGTCTTAAGAATTGTTCACACACAAATTTTATTTTTCGCAGTCTCAGTTTGGGTTCTTTACCCTTGCAGTACTAGACTTTTTCCTGTAAATAGCTTTTTTCATAAAGACAGCACATGTTTCAACTTATTTCATAATAAATTCACTTTCTATTAACCTTCGAGGGTCACGGCGCATCTGGCGGAGATATAACCCACTTGCTTGAGACGACAAAGGCTTAGGTTTCAAATCCGACCGGGACCTTTTTTGCAAACAAGAAATTTTCAGGATTTTGGAGTATCGTCTGTCTGTTTCTTTTTGTCGGCCTAGTTCCAACATCATGGACTCAATTTGAAGGCTCAGCTTTCTTCGATTCTGAATACCAATTTAAAAGCACCATCGGTGGAGTTAAATGAATGACAAAGTTTTTGCGGTTTTTTTTATTTTTTCGACGTCGATTAATGCGCCGGTTTTTGCGTCGTCGATTAATGCGCTCGGAGTTAATACGCATGTGATTATTTTACTCGCGATTAACAAACATTATCAATTGGGAATATAGCGTTTTTATGTGAACAACTTTTGCAACAGAATCATTGAATCAGTTTCTCAAATCTGCATTTTTGTCAACCAACGGATATTTTTTGAGCTTGTCTGCTTTTCAAATAACCAAAGATATTCAAAAGTCAGTCATTTTTTAGTCTCTTCGAGATCGATGACATTTTTCCAACTGTCTGTTGGCCGTGTTGCTTATAAATTGTTTGCCTGACTTTTCAGCTGGATGACAGACGAAGCCGCCTCAAAGATCACTCCGGTGTTGATCGGGGGCAAACCAAACACCTACACATACACGAAACACCTGGCAGAGAACCTTCTCATGGAGGAGGCTCAGAAGGGCGGATTCGGAGGCAGACCCCTCCCGTACATAATCGTACGACCTTCGATAGTGGGTGCCTCGTGGAGAGAACCCTTTCCAGGGTGGATAGATAACTTCAACGGACCCTCTGGACTGTTCATCGCTTGTGGCATGGGCCTGCTTCGATCCATGATCGGCAAGCCAGATGCCATTGCAGACATAGTGCCAGTGGATATTGTGTCCAATGTGATCCTGGCAGCGCCCTGGTACAGAGCGTGTGTCCTGTAAGTTCAGCTAAGGGGAGGGAGATGGAGGATTTTTTTTTTTAAAAAGTCAACAATTTGGTAGACATTTATTTAGGTAGACCAAATTGATTTTCTGAGCTCTCCCAAATTACTATAAAGACCGTAATTTAACCATATTTTTTGCGCCGCAATATTGATTTTCAATTTGATATGGTTTTTAAAAATTCTGTAATTTTTATTGGTTTTACTGACACTGTTTTGACATTGACATTTTTCCAGCTATTATCGTTTTCTCGGCTAAGTTAAATCTGGTTCCAAACTTTGAAAAAATAAAGTTTCGCGTTTTTTGAAAATGACTGGTTGAATTTGTCATTTGATCAGTTTTGAACTATCAGTGTGTTGGATATAAGCGGGTGAATGGGTCGTGGTTTCTCTGAAAAACGTGTTTCGAAAGGAATAAGATTTTTCTCGTAGCGATTTTAAAAGTCGCTGAAGGTAGTCTTGGTGCTTATGTTTTTTTTCAGGAAAAATTCTTTAAAACGCTCTGTTACCCACAGAAGTGCAGCATACATATTAATGCATTTACGAATGCACTTGGGTATATATGCACTTTTGATTTGCTAAAATTTAGGTAACTTTCGCTCTTCAATTACGAAAGCGCAAAGGGCGCGAAAAAGTTCGATCGATTTCTAGTTTCGGAGGTGGAGTTTAATATTCAGATATCCCAGCGGAATTAAAATTTAATCTATTGATCTAGTTTTTACACTAGCGGTCAGCTTAGTGTATTATTACGAACCTTCTTTTTTTTCTAAACTAACTCGCAAATAAAAGTGTCCATTAACAGTGTTCACTTATTTGGACATTTCACTGTAGCATTGGAAATTGCATAGTATCTGTTCTCTGCTTTATTTGTGGCTAGTGTTTGGTGCTTATTAAGCGTCCGTGGCTGAGTGTTTAGTGTGTGAGATTCTTAATCTCTAGGTTGCCGGTTCGAATCTCAGACGTAGACGATTTTTTTTATTGATTCGAGTCTTGTTACTAATTTTTCTTATTGCACTTCAAAGAGCTGCTTATTTGTCGTGTTCTCGCGTGTGTTTGAGAAGGGAAGCTCCGCCTCTGTGTCTGAAAGTGGGTTCATTTTATCAAAATACTGTCAATCATAAACTGTTAATGCGCAAAAGTCCTTTTTTTCTGTTTCCTTGCGTCATGACAATTCTCCAACAATCAGTAGGCAAAATTATGTTTAGATTTTTGGAAAACAAAAACTTTAAAAAATAAGTGAAACAACATCTGGTTTGTTAGACTAAATTGGACGAAAATTGATGAGAGGCTGACCTCCCTGTACGTTTTAAGGATATTTTACGACAATCTAATTAAATTTTAGCAATTGCTACCTCTCATTCTTGTAGTTTTTCACCGAATGCAATTACGGTTTACTGACTACAATTAATAGTGTTTCGATTTCTGATGTTTTGAAGAGTCGATGAACGTAATTCAGAGATCTTATATAGGTCGTGATGATTTTTTCCTTTTTTTTTTGAGGAAAAGACTTAAATTTCTTCAAACTCAAATTTACTTTTTCGCAGTTGACTTTTGATTTTTTTTACGTTCAGTTCATTTCCTTTTTTATTAAAAGGAAGGCAAAATCCACTATCGAACGGCAAAAGAGTAAAGGTCACGAAAAACTTGATTGACTTTAATTTCTAAAAGGAATTTTGAAATCAAATTTCCCAGCGAAATGAAAATTTCACCTACTGCTCCAGTTTTCTCAAATGGGTTTTTTTATCAAAAAACAGTCAGTCATAAATTTTTCTAGCAAATCATATAGCTTCAGAGCATCTATTTTTTTTTTGAAATTCGAAAGTGCGATTTTTTCAAAAAAAAAACATTTCTATTTGCGTTTGAATTAAATAATTTAATAGTTTGTCGTACTGGCTTAGCTCTATCAAGAATGCGCCAGTCATAAAATTTTGCTGAAAGAGCTTTTAGGTGATGCAGTTATTTTCAAAGCTTAATAATTTTGACCACCCAAGGCAAGTTCAAAATGGGGATTCGGATGCTTTTGCCTTACAAATCAACCTAAAAGATAATCGAATTTTATTCTGCTTGAAATTTTTTAGTCGGTACTCGAGCTGCTCTGGGATATTCCGAAGAAATGTTATCGTGGAAAACTTGTAAATCTTCCGCTTTTTAGATTTGAAAACTGAATATAACTGATTTACCGCAAAGTAGCCTGCTGTTTTTTTTTACTGGAAGCTATTGGAAAACTTTCCCTTGAAAACAAAAAAAGTTTCAAAAAATTAAGTTCCGATGTTTTCAAATTTGCCCCGAAAAATGTACCGTATTCCGATCAATCTGTGTTAGATGGACATCAATTTTTTTTCATTGTCGCAGCTTTTTGTGTCAAATTTTTAAGTTGTTTTTCAGATTATATCAGATATTTTGTGTCAGTTCAAATTATATTAGGCGAATTAATGGCAAGCGTTTTATTGATTGAAAAAAGAGCAATAATTGCTTACTGGTCATCATTATTAAGAGTAATGAACGTAGTAAAGACTGTTATATAGATCTTGGTGATTTTTTTTTCAGGAAAAGTCTTAAAATGCTCTAATAACTCTAGATATGCATTCATACATATTAATGCACATATGAATGCACCAAGGTATATATGCACTTTTTGAGCTCAATTGAAATGCATCTGCTGAAAGTTACTTAAATAGCACTCTCGAAATACGATCGTGGAAATGGCGCAAAAAAACGTGAACGGTTTCTAGTTTCGAAAGTAAAATTTAGTTTTTACCTATTGGTCCAGCGTTCTCAAGTTGGGTTAATGTTATCAAAAAAGCGTCAATTATAAATTGTTCTAGAAATTTAAAGAGCTTAAAGGGCAGCTATTTTTTTCTTTGAAATGCAAAATTGAGGTTTTTTCAACAAGTCAGTGTTTTTTTTTCTGTTCATTTACGTTCATTACTCTTTTCCAACTGTCAGTTGGCTTTTTCTCAAGTATGTCAAAAATTATACGATTCAGAAGTTCTAAGTGGCCGATTTGTGTAGTTGAATGTCTAAGTGTTCGCCTATGACACAGTAGATAGTGAGTTGAGCACACGCAGACGCAAGGTCTTTCCGAGGTTTTTTTTTCGGATTTAGTTTTGTTCGTTGTTGGATTTTTAGAGCTCCTTTCTGTCGTTTTTGTTTCTCTTGTTTGCGAAGTGCAGCTCCTATTCTTCTTCGAGTTCATTTTTATGGCTTGAGTTCATTTTTTTATAGGCATATTTCAAATTGGGTGGATATAAAGCTATGACTAAATTAGCGAATTTGGCATTAGCTGCCGTAACGAATAATGTATTTTCATTTCAAATGAACTCAATTGTAGGTGTTTTTAATAATTGATGGGATTTGATTGATTGGTTGGATTGCGTTGCAGTGGTCCCAAGTATGAAGTGAGTAAACGCGGCGCTTCTATCTTGACCAGTGTGTCGGGATCTGAGCCCAGCGGGAGACCACTCTATTGGTCTGACCTGAAAGTGGTTCTGGATGCGATGCGAGACAAGTATCCCCTCAAAATGGCAGTGCGATGGCCGAACGCCGCCTGGACTACCAATAGGTACTGAATGTACATGGAAACTCTTAGAGTTGAGGGTACAAAATACTCCTAGAAACTTCTTGGAAGGTATAACTTCTTAGAGAGTATCAGTCGCTGTATCAGACATTCAGTCTAGATGAGCCGTGAGATGGAGTCGCACTTGACTACAACTTGTGAATTATTATGGTCTAAAGACTAACCAACCAACTTTGTCGCCGACAAGTTCTCTCGAATTGTTTTATTTGGTGTCGTGGAGTCGGATTGAACTACTTGTCTGAGTTCCTCGCGATCTTCTCTTCTTAAACTTCTTAAATCATAATCTGTCTCTGAATCTTTTATCGTGTGACTATTAACCTGAAATGATTTTTTCTCTCAAAGAAAAAACTTTGAGCAATCTAATGTACAATTCTAAACTAATATTAACAATGGTTTTTCTTCTTTCAAAGACCAGGCTTAAAGACCAGACTCGCTTCATATCGGATCCTATAGGTTTCGTGATGCGAGGAGTTTTGCAATTTGTGTAGAATACTGGTGGCTGCTTTTTAAATTCTTGTCTCTGCTAAGACTGATGCTTCTTTTAACTGTGGTTGTGTTTTACTTCATGTGACTGTGTTATATTGCAGGAGTAGTTGCAGTAGTGGCAATGTGAAAGCGCTAACAGTAACATCTTCAAATACCAACAACAGTAACAATTCATCCGCTTCTGTGTCTCCTCTCCTGGGATCTCACATCTCGGACTCTTCAAATTCTTACTCTTCTTCTATCCAATCACCCGCCTCCTCCTCTCACACTAACAAGAAATGTCCCCTCTCCCCGCCCTCATCCCGTGCATCGAGGTCACCTCCTTCGACAGATCACGACCATGAACTCACGAGCGACACAAGTGAAGTCGAGATCTCGACAGGTGGTTCGTCTCGCGTAGTCACCCGACAGCACTCCTCGGAGTCGTCGGACGAAGTGAGCAACTCCTCGGACGACTGCGGAATCGTCACTCCTGACATCGGCAGAAAAAGCAGCGACAGTAGACATCAGCAGCAGTTTATTGTGAATTGCTGTAGTGGCTACATCGACAGGCCTGTCAAGTGGGGACCCCTGCCGACCATGGTGGCAAACAGCTACTTGAAGAATCCTATTCAAACTGCAGTCAGATACCCTAACTGCAACATGACAAATAACAAGTGCGCAAAGCATTATTTCTTTCCCGCTCCTATCTTTCGCCTTGTCATCGCAGCTCTCCTGTGTTACTATTGCGTTCCTTTTGCTTGTGAATGTAACCACTCCCAGTTTAAAGGGAGGGGGTGTTGCATGACCTCATGATTTTCATCACAATGCACGAGCTTAAAATGAAGATCGGATCGTACCTTCTTCCTTTAACTTGTGCGTTCAGTGCCACGCATGAAGTAAAGCTTAACTGATAGCAAGAATGAACGAAGACAAAAAAAAGAATATTCCCCTCGTCATTGTATTGTTAACCAGTTCATCACTGTCTGGTACTATTATCAAGATCGCATTTGGACTGCTTTCATTAACTTGCATGTGTCTGAATTGTAACGTGATTCTGTCTGCCTTTTCTTTCACTTAATTTCTAATCATTAACCATTGAGTTGGACTTATTTCCTTTTTGTAGATATTTACCCTCCACATTTGGTTTGAAAAAAAGTGGATGGCTTATGAAAAATAAAAAGAGTGTAGTAGCACCTGAAGCTGACATTACGAAATAATCATAGAATTCAACAGAATGTGCATATACCTGACTCTTTCAAGCCTCTTTTTGGTGTTTTTTTTCGATCGAAGGGGCTAATCACTCCTAGTGTACTTGTCAGCTGTGCAAGCAGTCGCACGTTGTGTAATCACTCAGTGACGTCATAGTGTGTGATGTTTTGTAATGTGATGTGTTGTAGGATGATGTACTTTCTGTGGGTGTTCACATGTCACCGAGTGCCCGCATTCCTCATGGACACATACATGCGTCTCATCGGAAAGAAACCAAGGTCAGTCTGAATACTTTGTGAGACCAAGTTTTTTCACGCATGTTCAGTTATGCTACAAGACATTTTCGATTGTGCATCACGAATTTAATCTCCTTTATTTTCAAAGAAAAGTCAATGGAGTGGAGTAAGTTGAGTCTTCAAAATGTATCGGCAGAAATTGTGATAGTGTTGTTTTTCGAGGTCGATTTTTTGACTTTGTGTACTAGTTTTAAAGAAATCGTCGTGAAGAGTATTTTAGATTTGTTATGGAAATCATGGAGAAGTTGCATTAAAAATCCGCGACAACCTTGTTTCATGATGACGATGATGTAACTTTTATTTGTGTTGTAGGATGATGTCGATGTACAGGAAGTTGCACAGGAGTATGGACACTCTCTCTTTCTTCACGCAGAGACACTGGGAGTGGGAGGTGAACAGTCTGAGACACATGCAACACGTCATTGAGACCCTCTCCACGTCTTCTAATAAACTGGGAGAAGGGTAAGTTGGGATTTGGACTCTTCTATCGCCCCCCCCCGCCCCCCCCCCCCCACCTCTCCTACCTGCATTTAAAAATATTTGCAGCTTGTTCAATTGTCAAAAGAATTGGCACGTGGGTTAATTGCTCAATAAGAACACATTTTGTAGTTGTTCTCATATACAACTACGTTGAATAAATGGTTATTCCGTAAAATTATTTTTATCTGATGGAGAGAAACTATCTTAGAGCCGCGATTTGTCATTTCAATTTCTGAGCATGAAAAGGCGAAGATTTTTTCTATAATGGTATACTAGTAACACGTAGGGTTATTATGTACATCATGGTGACATCATACACAATTATTTTTAAAAACTAGTGTGTGATCGTAGGACAACTGCAAGTGAGGAGGGAGTGAAGTGGGGCAAAGAGTGGAACACAAGTGTGAAGAATATAGACTGGGCAGAGTACCTGGAGAACTTCTGTGTGGGCACCAAGTGCTTCGTCCTCAACGAGGAGATGTCCGAGCTACATCTCGCCAAGCAGAGAATGTCACGGTTTGTCTTGTGAAGGCTTGATGATTTCACATGATCAGAGATAGTTTTTTTTCCCAGTAAAAATTTTAATTTGGCCGTTTGTTCTATGGTTTTTTTGAAAAATTTTCTTCATTTATTTGCTGAATAGAATGCAAATTACGCTTTCCAAATGTTGCGAAAAATCATGAATGACTTTAAGCTTGAAGTGGAATTTAATTTTTAATTTTCCAGCAGAATAAAAAACCCTTGTTTTCTCAACTTAGATAGATTTTATCAAAAAAAAGTGTCAATCATGGGAAAAATTATTTTTTTTGGTCTTGATTCCAGGGGCGGATCTAGGATTTTCTCGAGGGGGGGGCGGATTTTCAAAAAATTTTCCAAAATTTTGACGACCTTTTTTTTTTTAGGTCGACCAAATTAATTTTTCGAGCTCTCCCAAAGCACTGTTTAGCCCCTATTTTGGCAAAATTTTGTGCGCCGCAGGCAAATTTTTAAAAAAAACAGTCAAAAAAGCCGTTTTTGGGCACTTTTTGAAAAATTTTGACAAAAAAATCGCGTTTTTTTTGGCGCGCGCTCCCCCTCAAAGTTAGTATACATTGGCGCCAAAGGCGACATTGGAAAATTCATAGCATCTGTTCTCTGCTTTTTTGTGGCGAGTGTTTGCGATATATTAAGCGTGAGTGGTTAGTGCGTGAGACTCATAATCTCTAGGTTTCCGATCGTATCCGCGACGTAGCCGAATTTTTAATTCGAACTAATTTCTATTATTCTTATTGAACTTTATAGAGCTGCTTTTTGTCAAGTGTTCTATCTAGTGTTTGCGAAGCAAAAAGTTGCCTCCGTGTATTAATTTTTACCCATTCGTGCATGTTTTAGTCTAATTCAATCACCCTTTTAAGAAAAAAATTAACTGTAAACTTAGAACAAAAAAATGATATAAGTTGAAAATGTATTTTTATCGATTTTTATAAATTTCATATTTGAGTCAATGAACGCAGTGTAGACTCTTTTATAGGTCCTGATGCGTTTTCTCAGAAAATGTTTTGAAGTTTGTTCAAGTCCAAATCTGATTTTTTTAAGCTTCGTTCATTTCATATATTTGAAAGAAACGAAACAAGCGAAATGACTCCACTGTCGATTGGCGAAAGTGTACAGTTCACAGGAAATTTAATCGATTTCTTGCTTCGAAAATGGATTTCTTTTTTACACAAGCAGCATAGCTTGTGGTATAGTATGAAC